CCCCCCTCACGGCGGCCTCCCTCACCGTCTCCTCCCTCGGTCGGGCTTCGGCGGGACGGGGCGCGGCGCTCGCGGGCCGCGGCCGCCTCCTCCTCCGGCGCGCAGAGCTGCCCCAGCCACAATGGCCTCCCGGTGCTCCACACAGGCCGCGCCAGGCCTGCGCCCGCTGACAGACAGCCTCTCAGCCCAATCGTAGCCCTCTGCCGGCGAAGCTCAACCAATCGAGCCCCGGAGGCGGAACCTACTAGCCGCTATATAAGGGAGGGCGGTGAAGGACTGCAGTGGAGACAGGGACGTTCAGGCCAATCCAGGCGCAGCCCCCGCCCCCTGGCGTGATGTCATCATCATACGTCAACCTGTCACCATATTTATGATGTCACCTCACAGCAGTGCTTCGTCATGGGTTGCCGTGGCACCAATTCTCACTGCTGGGTGGTGCTGACGGTTCCTCACAGCCGCCCTGCTCCAACAAGCGGGGAGAAGTGCTCTGTGAGGTAAACACCTCCCATGGCGCCCTCAAAGCGCCACAGCAAAATGACATCACACAGTGGCAGCCTGTTGCAGCACCACAACACACCATGGTCACCTCACAGCCGTGCTTTGGGATGACAACAGAGTGCCCAGTCCCACAGTGGAGGGTCACACAGCTGCAAGCCCTGATCCGTTGGGCCTGCGATGGCCCTGAGCCCTGTGACACGGGCTTCACATGGCTTTTCCAGGGGGGGTGGTTCAGAAGGGGAGGGATTTACTCCCTGCCCAGGTAGCCCAGCTATTTTTGACCCCACTCAAAAATCGTAAGCCTTCTATACGTTACTATAGCACCTGCCTTGATGGTAGGACTGCTTGTTTTTTAAAACAGGTGCTGACTAAAAATAATCTCAATATATTTGTCCACCTCTCCTAGGACTAACAAGAGCTTTCTTTTCTGTGACTTATATTCTCATAGATGATTTTAGAAAAACACACCTGTAATTTTCTTTAAATAAATAAATTTAATGTATCATACAGACTAGATTGATATCAGTTTCCTTTAATAGCTCCACTTTTTAATATGAAGAGGAAACTAATTCTAGACAGACAGTAAAAGGGGCCTTTGCATCACTTACCAAAACCAACATGTTGAATACCAAGTTACATATTCTTGGCATCTAGGTCAGATTATCGCTGTGCTTTTCGTTACGATTTGGGTGCTTTTATGTGGTTATAAAAAGTACTAGAGCAGTTTCCAGTAAGAAGCTCCTATTACAACAAGCAGTGTAACACTTTCAAGCTATTAACCTACATAAGCATTCAAACATCTCCATTTAGAAGCAAGCCTGCAGAGGAATATCATAAAGAAAACTTTACTAGTCAAGGATTTAGTTAATAAAATGCAGAAATTAAATATTATGATTTCTCACTGTTCCAAAATAACAAATGAGCAGGAACGTTATGTGTTTATCTACCTTATTTCTTTGAGGTTTATAGATGTTTCCTACTGCTAGTTAGTTCACAACTAGCAAAGTGTGCTTTTGCAAATACATATGTTAAAAAAAAAAATAGGGTTTTAGTCCTAGCTTGAAGATATACTTAGTATTCTCTTATGTGCCAGTATAGGGTGTTGGGTTTTTTTATATATATTCCAGTAGCTGTAGTTTAGATACTATTTTAAAATGCAAGTTTATGGCAGTTGTTTAGGGCAGTTTTTTCTTGGCCAAGGAGGTAACTTTATGACCATAAACAACCTATGTAAAAATACAGACACAGCTTCTATTTCCACCTGCAGGAAATTTCTTCCCACATTCATCTACCTCAGCAGAAGGTAAAATACAAAGGCTTAATCAATAGCTGGTGTGAACTACAGTAGGAGCTACAACCAGAGATTACACTGCTGTATCAGTACGTGTCTGGCAAAACACTGATGAACAGTCACCAAATTCAATTCTCCTGTACTCATGTGCTTCAGAAAGATGGTGATACCCAAACCTGACACGTTCTTTTGAAACACAGCTGCTGGATAGGGAAAAGTAAGGTGTGCCTACCTGGGGGACCTGTGTGACAGAAAGAACTAACCCAAGAAACACAGGAAAACTCTGATACCAGGATTTAGGCAAGGCTGGGGGAGAACACTGTCCCTCCTACTTGTATCAGAGTACTGCAGTGGTGTACCTGTGTTCAGACCTGAGATGAGGAGTCATCAAGTTAAAAATAAAAAAAAAAGCAAAACAAACAGTGTACCTGTGTTCAGACCTGAGATGAGGAGTCATCAAGTTAAAAATAAAAAAAAAAGCAAAAAACAAACATAAACCAAGAAAAATTATATAATATTTTAATTGCATTGTAATTTCATTGTACACTCTTCAAACAGAAACATCACTTGAAAGACATCCAGTTCCCTTATTTTGTTGCACTGTACATGTTATGCAAATAAGAGCTGGGGTGGCATACAAAACAAAATGTTGCTCTGGCTTTTCAAATAATTAGTTGAAAGAAGCAGAAATTTAAAACATAGCTGGGAATTTACAGCCACAGAAGAGCTTTGCAAATGACAGGTTAAATACAACGCACAGATGCAAAGGGGTGAAGGGAAGCTGGGGAGGAAGAGGGACAACAAATTTCCAGTTTGAGGCTGAAGTAGGACAAAAACCCTAACAACTGTACACAAGTGTCAACGTGCTCAGTATTTACGTTCTGAGCATTACCAATGCTACAGATAAGCAATGTACTAAAAAAATAACTTAAAAAAAGCTATACAATTGTAGTTATAAATACTATATCTTTAAAACTAGTTAAGTAGTGTAGGCTAAAAAAAAAAAAATGTTCACAGTTACTCTGAAGAGAGCTGTATATATATATTGCACAGTAGAAAAGTTCATTCAGTATACCATGTGTAAACAATTTTTATCTTCTTTGGCAATTTCAGGACTTAGAGGAATATTTGCTGTGAGCAAAAGCACTTGGGTACAAGGCACATCAAAAGCTTTTAAAGCTGCAAGATAAATCCATCTGACACTTTCCAGTTCGCACTGTTATTCTCTTTAGAAAAACATGTACCTATCAATTCAGAACAACACGTTTCTACAAGTATAACTCAGAGGTCTGATGACAAAACCCATCAGCTGTTCTTGGCTGTTACTCTACAGTAACAGATTTGGCCAAATTTCTTGGAAAGTCCACCTAGAATGAAGAGACAGACTTTCAGTATATGACAGAATAATACTGACATTCTGCATTTGACAGTTCATTTAGTGTGCTTTTTTAGACTTCCTAATGAGTTCTGCTTTATTCTAGACACATTAACACACACAAGAGACTATAGATCTGCAGATAATGACTCACTGTTGAATTCATCCTTGCTTCCAAAACCCGCCTAACAAATACATATTTGTTTTGCAGAGGGTACCTTCCCAAAGCAGTCATTATCAAACTGACACACCTAGCCAGCGTCAAACTAAGCTGTACAAAGCACTGAACTATTCTAAGTTAAAGTGCAGTATCACATTTTAAGATTTAGTTTTCTGAAAGAGTCTTATCTGCACTCTTAACTAACCAAACTAAGCAAATTACATTTAACTTTTTTAGAAGGATGCCAATTCAAAAAAATATAAGCTGAAGAATTGGCACTGAAATGCCTCCTCTACTACCACAGTCACTATAAGCTCCACTATTACCATAGTTCTTTGTTAGATATGCCTTATAATGGGGTCTCCCACTTTACACTGGTAGGAGGGAGTTCAAAACTGCACTAACCGGAGTGCTAAATACAGAAAGCACTTACATCGTATCCTCTGAGAACAGCCAGGTGGAATGAAAGCAACTGGAGAGGAATAACACTCAAGACTCCTTGAAGGCAGTCAACTGTATGAGGCAGCTCAATGGTTTTGTAGGCAAATTTTGAGCTTTCTGTGTCTTCTTTAGAACACAGAATGATTGGACGACCCTGAAAATAAGATTTTGCAGTGTTACGTCAAGAGCTGGCTTACAACTGCTTTGAAACATTGGCTCACAGCATGCCTGTAGTATGTTTGAAGGCGCTTAGGTAGCTAACAATGCCAGTCTTGCATAATGACTTTTGTCATTCACTGTTTTGTGAGACTTGAAATGTTTTCACCCTGTAGAGTTTTAACATTATTCTTAACATTATTTCATTTGCTTCAAAACAAACAAACAAAACCCCCCAAACAAACAACCCACATGCAATCAGTTTTCACTACTGGCGTTAACCTTTAACGACAACCTACAATGCAGATATAGCATCTTACTTGTCTCTTAACAATTAGATAAAAACTACCTACAATGCAGATATAGCATCTTACTTGAGTTTTTTTCTAATTATTAAGATACAATACATCCTTTTTCTGAGGCACAGTCAACAGCAATACAGTGTGCACAATCTCCTTCTCTATGACACTGTATTAGTTAAACAGCTTACCTGTCGAGCAGTGACCTGTTGCAGAGCATTCTGGCACTTGGTGAAACAAGGATCCTTCATTATCACCATGATAACAGGCATTTGTTTATCTATTAGGGCTAACGGCCCATGTTTCAGCTCACCAGCCAGGATACCTTCAGAGTGCATATAGGTGATTTCTTTTATTTTCTACAAAAAGCAAATGCCATCAAATTACTAGTAGATCAGATGAGAAAGAAAAGCCACAAGAAGCAAAACACCAACACTGTACATCTGCCACTTAAATACAGACATACGGTATCAAGTTGGTATTTTCAAAGGTCAGTTAACAGTGAAAACAGACAAGCTTGTCTGCTGGGATTTCTAGCAGGCTGCTGGTGGAAGCAGAGCTTGCCCATGCGCATGCATTTGCAGATAAAGAAATGGCGTAATCAACAGGAACTTTAAGCACCGAACACCCAGCACAACCTCGGCTAACGCAGTCTACCTTTAACATTTCAAACTTCTGAGAGATGGATATGCGTCCAGTCCAACAGAAAGTTCGTAACATAGTTTATGCATTTCCTGCATAAGCATCTCATCTGAACATCAGCACATTGTGTTTTCCTGATGTTATTTTCAAATGGGTCAGCATTTTAAATTGTTTGTTTGTTTTTTTAGACTCATTACACACTGCATTTATTATGTGAAAGAAACAAGAAACTGATATTGTATCCAGGTTCACCTTATGTATGGGTTCAATCCAACAGGACTAAATGCTCTCAGTTATAGATAGCAGTTTTACTACAGCAGAATTAAGCTGTAATGAAATATTAGAAATAACTATGTTGAGACTCATTACACACTGCATTTATTATGTGAAAGAAACAAGAAACTGATATTGTATCCAGGTTCACCTTATGTATGGGTTCAATCCAACAGGACTAAATGCTCTCAGTTATAGATAGCAGTTTTACTGCAGCAGAATTAAGCTGTAATGAAATATTAAAAATAAACTATGTTGCAGAAGCCACAAAAGCTCATTTTAAATCCAAAAATATTGAGAGGTTCCTACCAGAGCTCCTTCCAGACAAGTGGCATAATTATATCCACGACCCATAACCAGCAGTGATCTTTGTTTGTACAGTTCAAGAGCCAAATCATGTATCTTCTCATCCAAGGACAAGACTTCTTTAATCATCTCTATTGGGGCACATAAAAAGCACATATAAAAAGCTTTTTTAATTGGAAAAAATAGTTTGCTTGTAGTAGGATGTTCTAATGATCTATTAGAACAAATACGCTTAATATAATTCAACTATTAACTCTGCATCTTTGACCGCAGTTTAATGATAGTTTCTCCAGCCTTATTTATAGTAACAAATGTAAAGCAGCCATTGGTTTAAGCAGTGCTCATACATCCCATTTGTATTTTTAAAGGAAGTTGTGAACATCCATTTTAAAGTCACCTTGAATTAGTTTCCTTTTATCTATCCTGATTTAAAGTGAAAGGCTTTAAAAATTTCAAATCATCAATTCAGGAGATCAAGTAATATTTCCTCATACAAAAACACCTTACTGTAATTAGAAAACCCAACCCATGAAAATTCTGATCTTCCTGCCAAGTTTCTTGGAAGGGCACTTGTAAAATTGACAATGAGTGCAGAAACTAATAGTCCATTTTTCTTATACTGTCTACCTTTCAGGAGGAGGGGGAGAGTGAAACTTAAATAAGAAAGAAACGTCCCCAAGTAGTATTTTATATTGCCCATTAAACAACATCCCCTATCCCTCCTCAAACCCAAAATATCAATATACCTGGCAATGACTTTAGTCCACTAATGATTTCCTGCCTCCTTTTCTGCAAGGAAATTCTGTCTTCAGACATCATTAGGCCAAACATTACAAGAGACACGAATTGGCTGGTATAAGCCTGCAGACAAAACAAAACATTTAGCAGCTAAGTCTGCAGAGAGTCAGTATGATCTCAGTTTGAAGTGCTACAATTAAAATTTTAATTGGATTCCACAATGGTGAAGTATGAAAGTCAAACACTGAACAGCAATTACCTTTGTGCTTGCCACACCTATCTCAGGTCCTGCATTGATATGTACACCACAGTCAGTCTCCCTGGATATTGAGCTTCCGACTGTGTTTGTAATGCCAACTGTTAGAGCACGACGTTCTTTACAATACCTCAAGGCCATAAGCGTATCTGCAGTTTCACCTGGAAAACATTTACATCTTATGACTTCAGGTTGACAGATGATAGTAATGGTTCCTGAAGAGCATAACATTCTACACAAGTGTGTTTAAATAACTGCATCCACACTTACACAATGCAAAATGCAACTGAAAACAATCTTTCAGCACTCACCCATTGTCTATATATTTGAATCAAGTCTGAAAGAAAAACTTTCACTCAAGACAAATCTGGCCCATCAGCCATCATCCTCTCTTGCAACATGCAGAAAGTAATAAATCATTGGCTTTTAAAAATTTTTCTACAGTTTTCACTCAACTGAAGACAAACAGCAAATGCAGCTCACCTGACTGACTTATAAAAAAGCACACATCATCTCTGAATACAGGTGTGTTTCTATCCAGGAAGTCACTAGCAAGTTCCACCATCACCGGTAATTCAGTTAATTCTTCCAATACTTGTCGAGTCTGTATTCAAGGCAGCACACAATATTTGTTAATATTGCCACCCATAAAAGTCTTGACATCTTCAGAGTCAGATATAATCTAAATGGATTATTACAAAAAGTTGTAATTACAGCTCACCAGAGCTTTAAAAACCAAGGCGAAAAAAGTTCATTTCTAGCGTGGTAGGTAGCAGCACTGGAGCATTAATAAAGAATGTGGCACAAAGGAAAACTAAATAAAAGGGCGAGACCCTGCCATGAAAGGAAAAGTTTGAGATGAAGAAGAAAAAGCAGATGAAGAGCTGTTGTCTGAAAACCCAGCAACTAGGAGTTACATATGCACTTCAGCTAAGGCTGAACATACAGCTACTGCGGCATGGTAACTGGTCCCGCAGCCAATAATGATCAGTCTTCGGCATCTTCTGATTTCTTTCAAATGATCCTTCAGCCCCCCCAGCAGAACTGTAAACAAACAAACAAACAAACAAACATTATCAATGGTGTATTTTCTATTCTAGTTAATATGTTCAAAATTTGCAGGCTTAGAGCAGCTTGAACACCTGTTCTGAGTTACCTGTGCTGCTCTCGAAATTCACCCTGCCTCTCATCGTATTGACAACTGATTCCGGTTGTTCAAAAATTTCCTTTTGCATGAATGCACTGAAGTTACCTGTTTAGAAAAACATTACATGGTAATGCTTAGGTACATGGTTCATTATCTGAAGTCTATTACAGTTACAAAGAGAACTTTTAAGATGGCCTGTGGTAGCAAGCTAAGCTAACCAAGTCAACTTAAATTAAACAAAATACAACTAAAATTAAAAAAAAGCTTAGGTGAGAAGAAAGAAGGGACTGGTATTTCTACTAGGTCGGTTTCATTTCCCAACTCTGACAAGGTAACTGAATTCCTTTTAAAAGAAAACTTCTCTATTCCACTTCAGTTCTTAGTTTACAGTCAAAGTTTGCCAACAACTACAACAACATGTTAACATTATTTATATTTTCACTCAATATTGAGATGGAGTATCTAGGACTTTCCCAAGCCTAAAAACGGGTAGGGTCCCATACCGCCTTTCTTCCCTTGGTCTTAAAGCTTGGAATTGCCAGCTCCCAGTACAAATAGCCTAAATATCAGGTCATTTTCACAACAAATTAGCAGTTTTCTGCCTTATCTACTACACAAACAGTCAGTAATCATCCATCTTTGATGATACTCATTTACAGATGTTTCAACCCACCCTTCATGATTTGCTGCAATTCCATCTGCAAGGTTTGGATGGCCCGGGAAGGATCATCACTAGCTGAACGCTCGAGACGGTGAATTGAAAGCTTCCCATCAGTTACTGCTGCAATGTCATCATCTTCTAAGAAAATGACTCTGTTGGTGTGCTCAATGATAGCACTACAGGAAAAACAGAAGCAAGACAAACCTGACGTGTCAGTAAGTTGGTAGCAGCACTCCTCAGAGCAATTAAATATGCCACACCACACTTCCAGCCCCCCTTCTATCTTCCTTTTGGGCCTAACTACAGATAGAGCCATCTTAAAGGAAATGGCTCCATCTGCTGCTCCTCCTGCACTCTCACAGGAACCTGGAGCAGAAGGCTCGGGAACCACAGCATCTCGCTTCAGCAAGTTCCTGCTGATCTGATCTTGCCTCCCAGGGTCTCTGATGGACCCCTAAGGTCAGGATCTTGCTCTGAGAGACAAATGTGTACCTGATGTTCAGGTTCCTGCTAAGTTTGGAACCACACTGCTATTTCCTCCTCTGATAGCTGGATTAAAATGCCAAAACCCAGACTAACCTATAGTCTGCCCAAATACTGGTCTGATAGTGTCTATTTGTATCCAACTTACCTTCCTACATTGGATTTATTTTACATAGAGGTTAGTAATTGGCAGATATTTACAGTTCAAATGCTGATGTCAAGCCTCCACATTTTTCAAGTACCTTAGCCTGCGGGCTTTATGAAGTTACCTGGATTAGAAGCTATCCTATCAGAAAACAATTGTACAGCAGCAAGACAGCATAAGATTTCCAGAACTATCTCACTTCTAAACAAAAACAGTAGTTTGAGAAGCGTTTAAGTACTTTTACTACCTTGCATCTGAAGCAAAAAAAAATTCTACTGCCTTATCCCCAACAGCATGAAGGCAGGTAGAGCTGTCCAGTCTCTTCATTCGTGAATTGCATATGTTCTTCACATTCTCAATGTTGCCTATTAAAGAAATGAGACACTTCAAATGCAAAACCAGATCTGTTCAAGTTAGAGATTACAGACTATACAGGTTCAAGGTATCACAGTTACACAAGTATTTTGGGCAGATGGGACTTTTACATGAACTACGCATTCAGTGGCGTAAAAATAGAATATCCTCAGCTAAGAAGCTATTTGGGGCATCAGCTGTAGTTTTGTAGTACAAAGACCAATTACCCTAATTTCTAATCATAAAGTAACCATAATTTTAGCTCTTAAAAATAATGTAATTTGATTTATCAACTTACACGTTCTATATAAAACAGGAATCTGTTCAGTGGAAAGCTTGTACTTGCTCCTAACCCCAATGAGCAACGGACTCCCTCTCCTACAAAAGGAAAACATACAAGTTCATAAAGAGTAAGGTGCATACAAAGAAGTCAAAGGACATCTGTTAAGTTGGAAGACAATATCCCATCTAGCTTCTTAAATAGGAAGATCCTCCTCAACGCTGATCCTAAAGCCATTACATGGCAGGAGTTAAATAAACTTGGTTTGTTTCTGTAAAATTTGCCAAATATTATATGAGTAAGCGCCATATGCCTTGGTGATTCCTTCCCCATGAACTACACCCAAATAGAAAAAAGTGTATATGAACTAGTTGTTTTCTTTCTAGTAATCACAAAACAGCTTAGCACAGGCACCAATCTGAATACCGTTTTTAAACAAAGCTTACTCTGCTCTAAAGTGAGCCAGCAATAAGCTCCAGCGCTCTTTACTACTGAAATACTGTTCCACCCTTTAGCCTTTTAAAATCAGAAACATGAACTGCACCTCAAACTGCAGAATATTAAGATCATTATTAATTATGAGTCGTGCACCATATTGAAGAGCTTATTAAAAAAAAAAAATCTCACAGGAATAAAAAAAAGAGTAATTCACCCCCCCAATGCCTCAGATTACAAGTTTAGCTTCTCTTAATCCTCTCACTCCTAAAAACCCAAACCTGAACCACATATAGAATAGTTCATTTCAGAAGGTGTTCTCCAGTTAGAGTGATGGTACAGCTGGCTTTTTCACAATTTTAATATAGTCCTATTTTAGGCCACAGAAGCAATGGGCTTTTTGGTTGTAGTATAAAACAGTCTTTATTCCCACTGCTACTTTGCTTGCTACTTTAATATCTTTACATTGCCTGAAAGTTGTTTTCCAAGTCATAAATAAAAGTAGAACTTATACAGAAAAAAAATCATAAATGCTATGACAGCTATGGAACACTATTTGTATAACCGATTAGTATGATGGCTTTTTAGGCAACCTGAACATACTTCTCTCAGTCTTTATTCAATGTCAAGTAAAATTGAACCATATGCTTTTCCTCCCCTTTTTGATATAGGAGAGGTGTTAGCACGCTCTTAACACAACTTTAGAAACAGAGGATACGCTGAGCTTCTTTACTGACACGCTGTAACAGATAAAAGGACAGACTACCGGAATGAGTTTGTCAGTGGTACATTCTTCTGAGTGTGTCATTTGGACAATCTCCAACCGAAAGTGTATTTGCATGAAGCAAGAAAATATCATCTGATTACTTTTCACTACAGTCTTTGCATCCTCAAAAAGGGAGTAGTCACATCTAATTTATTAAATAAAATCAAGTTAAAAATAATTTATTAATTAAAATCAAGTTAAAGATCATAAAGCATCAACACAAGCCTCTGGAAATTCTGTGACCTGCAGTCAGTACAGTTCAAATTGTTATATTTAATAGTCCGTTGAAGAGATGCTCAGCAGAGCTTCACTGCACTTCACAAGGATTCCACTAGTGCAGCTATCTACCTTCTGAGTTTTGGTTAATTAAGCACTTTAAATATCAGTATTCTAAGGGGGTTTTTTGTTTGGTTGTTTTTTTGTTTTTTTTTTTTTTGGGGGGGGGGTGTTTTTAAGAGATGTTAGCATTTTTTTTAACCTAAAAAAAGCATGAATTATGTATAAAATGGACTTCTACTAACCTGGTAGCAACAGCTTCACCTGGGTAATGGATGCTCTTGAAAACCAATGCAAAAGCACCTTCCTGGAAACCATGCAAACAGAAGAGAAAAAAGAATCCTAAACAACTTATCTCAATTAGTTGCATCTCATTAAACTGGGGCCCCTCTTCCTGAGGAGGCTGTGAAGGAAAGCTCTTTACTACTATCAGAAATCCCTTCCTGGAGGGCAGACTGCACCTTTAAAGGAATTGGTCACGGAGCAGAACAAGCTAACATGCACGTAACAGTGCAACAGCTGAAAGATCAGGAAGTGAGCACTTAGCCTCTCTTCATAAATAAAAACAATACCTTCCAATGCAAGGGTTAAGAAAATGAGCTGTTACTTGTAATTAACATGAAGACTGTTAGACATTTATTTTTAGTAAGACTTTTAATAAGAATGTGTATGTAGCTGCATTTTATCATGCATTTTCAGCTAAAGTTTTGGAGTTACTACTTCTAGTTTAAGCAGCAAATTCTCACTAACGTATTTCCAAAAAAAGCCTCCACCAAAAAAAAAAAACCAAAATCCACAACACAAGAACAAAAACAGGAACACACAATCAGCCGCTCTATAGTATTAACGCAGCTTGCAAACTTGAGGAGTATTCCAAAAGCAGGAGGAAAAGCCCCCCCACATCTTGCAAACGGAAGAGAGAGGGTAACATTCACTCCTCTTGCAGGGACTCCAGTCTGAGACTACTCTGCTCTTCTTCTGCGGTCAGGTGAAGTCACCCTTCCCCTCAACTAGGTGGCTGCACCGCTATTCCCTCTTGACCCATACAGGCCTTTACTTCGTGTGTACTCCAGCCCTGCTCTAGGGAAATCCTACAGAGCTGCTTTAGAGAGGAGAAAGGGGAGGTGAAAAAAGTGTAAGAAACTGCAGGAAGGGGAGGGAAAACATCTGCCCAGAGACTCGGGGAGGAAACAAAGCAAGCTTTCTCCAAGTCTGCATGCATCTATCGAAGTTTTTAAGCATTCGCATACTAAGTAACAGTAGATTCCCACTTCACAGTTTGGGAACCATCTATGCCATGAATCAGTACAGCTTGTTAGATCTATTTCCAAATATGGGAGCCAAGGCATACTATTGGACAAACTTGAATCACAGCAGTGTTTTAACATGATCAGAATAGCCTTTAAGAACACACTGCCCTTTATGAAATATTTCAACCCCCAGAGGCCCCTACAATTTCTTTTAATTAAGCTGCTTCGTTAAAAAAAAACTGTGATAACCTCTTGCTTTAAAAAAAAAAAAAAAAATCTGTTAACCTCTTTCTTTAAAAAAAAAAAAAACTGTGATAACCTCTTGCTTTAAAAAAAAAAAAAAACTGTGATAACCTCTTGCTTTAAAAAAAAACAACAACAAAAAAACCCCCCACAAAACAAAACCAAAACCCACTGCTAATGCAATTTAAAAATTTACCATTGAAAAGCCTTTGAAGTTTCCAAAATTTTAATCTAATTTCTTGGTCTATTAAGCATTGTTTAGAGGTCAAAAAGCATTATTTGCAGCACCTTCTAAGGACTCCTGCAGAGGATCTAAATGCATAAATGCAGAATACTAAGGAACCCCACAAATAGCTTATACTGTAGTACAGGAACAAAGGAACTTCACACTTACCAACTGTTGAATAACTCTTTCCACCAAGGCTGAAAAACTGGTGTCCTCACTCTCTCTGTTGTCATACATGTATTTGATCAATTTGGGGATCGTTTCTGTATCCGTTTCAGATTCGAATTCATAGCCTTTGCTCTCCTGAAGTATCATATAGAAGAGTAAAAAGCGTTTTCATTCTCAGGCAAGAAACACTGAAGAGCCTTTCAGCTGTCTCCCACCAGAAACTGCACAGTAAGACAGACTGCTTAGAGCACCACACTGGACTAGTGGATATATATCCCTATAGACAAAATATAAAGATTTATCCCATCATAGCTTACTCTTTCAGAAATACTGTAATAAGACATGTAGTAAGACTTGCTTAGCATCTGTCAAGCAACGAGACAGGAGGGAGCCCACTCCACACACCATCTCAAACAATTTGAGCGCAAATTGCTACTCTACTCATTAAGTACCTTGCATTTAGGATCACAAGAACATACTGCACTTCACCAGCTCCCGCATATCTTTATTAGGCAGACTCCTTCACGCTACTCTTTTATAGTGTTTCTTTTATATCAAGAAACTTGAATACAGATTCCAACAAAATCACAAAAGACCTGATAGTAGTTGCTGGGGCATTTACTTTCTAGTTTTAGAATCAAGTTGCCACAGACTCACCAGAAATTTTCTCAGGTCCTTATAATTTGTGATGATTCCATTATGGATAACAACGAATTCTAAAAGGAAAAATATATATATACACCCATCAGTAATGGAAAATTAAGATATTTAACTCAGAACACAAAATTAGAGGGGAAAAAAAGCTCAGAAGTACACTAGAAACTACCTGCTATAGCTTTCAAACCTACAGTTTATCATAACATGGACAACAGAAAGCAGAAGCTTACAAATTCTGAAGGCATACAAAGGTTGTTCAAATCATCAAGCCAGTTTTAAACTACACCCAGTAGAATAGCACCAAGCCATCTCAAGTGAAAAACGATAGGAAACCTCCCTTTTCCAGCCCAGACAATATTGATGCACTTACATTTTCAGAGCCTTACCTTTTAAAACAAGAATGTTGTCCTTCGACTAACTTGCATCGATTTTCAGAAAACAGATCTCATAAGTCTTTTACAGTGTTACTTTAGCCTCAGAAGAGGCTATTTTACTGTAAAAGCATCTAACCTAGATAGAATAGCAACAGCTTAACCCTAGTATACAAAATAGATACCGTAACACTAGTAAGAAGAAAGTACACATGTACTATGTCGGTTCAACCATTTCAGATTCATACAGTTCCAGAGTGCTGCAAAGATTACATACCATTCCTTTTATCTGATCTCTGAGGGTGACTGTTTATTGCACTTGGTACTCCATGGGTCGCCCAGCGAGTATGAGCAATTCCAAAATGTGTTTCAAAATCTGCTTTTGAATCCAGGTCATCTTGTTCTATACACAAGAAATTCAGTTTACTGAATATTTAAAGTTGAGTCTCTCTCTCACACACAACTAGTAAAACACTAAGAATTCCTACAGGCAAAAATCCAACAGTTATGTTCTGGCTTTCTTTTAAACCATTTGCTTTCCTGACATTATGCTTCAGATAGTTCAAGGTACTGCGATTAAAACTTTGTTTGCCAAGACTCGAGCATTTTCAGCCAATACTAACAGCTACGCTAACAGACCACATTACTACAAATTAAAATGTAAACGTATTAAAACACAACTTCAGTTCTTCACAGATGGAAGCACTGCATAAAGCAGATTGTGATGACAGCCAGATGCTTAAATGCTCGTAAATTCTGTCAGAGTCCATGTTCCGACATTTCAGCTACCAAGCACAGAAATCATCCGAGTAAAGCACTGAGGGAGCCCTGGCCTTGAACAAAGAAGCAACCAAAAGAGGGGAGAGTAGACTGATAGTTTCACAGCACTATACCTAAAGATCAACTTGCTTTTCAAGTGCAGATTTGGGGGGCACAAACAGTTTAACTGCCATTGCATTACACAATGCAGTTATTTCTGGTACAAAATCATAACTGTAATTTCACGATCTGACTTTCTGCTGAGATGCAGATATTATCTGACTGGGAGGCCAAAGTAAAGGGGTAATTTTTAAGACACCTACTGTACAACTCTTCTTCCAGGGCCTTTACTTTTCCTCTTTTCTTAACTAGTTTGATGAACCTTTCTTTATCTTCATTATTATTTCCATCAATTGCCACTCCTACAGTACAGGACACAGTCACAAGTGTTATTTAAAGCATGAAATACACTGGATGAAAAAAAGGCTGAGAAAACACAGACAAGCACACACTAGCAAAACAATTATTTTAAAATTATCCTGCAATGGGATATACTTGAAGTCTGTTGTTAGACCTGTATATGTTCAAATCAAACTAGATGAAGTCTATATCCACTGCACAGGTGAAAATATACATGAGTCATCTCAACTTTTGCTTGAGGACAGACTGATATATTCTGCCCAATGAAATTAGCCAACTCAAATTTAAAGACAAGTTTAATCTTCTTCATCCTTTCACTGGGACTCACACGCACAAAAAAGGCTGAGGCACAAACTACATGACCCTGTATGGAGGTCTTCTTCCTCACACCCTGTTTGCTTTGCTTATGTTTACTAAACCTCAACCACCATCTGATTACAGAGCTAAACACCCAATTTAAAGTCCTGAGAAAAGCTGAAGAAGAAAATCCAATAATCAAGGTAATTAGTTCTGATCTTTCAATCTGCAGGACAAGAAAAGAGAAATCCAACACACAGAAGTTGAAAGCACCCAAAAAGTCACATAGGTAGCTACTGGTTGCTAAAATTAATTTGTTGAGTTAGTTTACATACCTGCAGAGTCATATCCTCTGTATTCCAGTCTCTGTAATCCTTTTATCAGGGTTTCAAATATTTCCTTCCGAGTCCGAGGCACTCTGTAGTTTAGATAAGCAAAAATTCCTGTTTAAAGAGAAAAGGGGAAGGGGGAAAAAAAAAAAGCAGCAAAGATTTTTTTAGAGTTTGTATCCATTCAGACTCAATTTAAAAACCCTTTAAAACTAGCATCACAGAGAGGTCCTAGGGACACCCCCACCTCCCATTTAGTACAATTCTTCCTACTGGGTTTTTAAATGGAAAGAGTTCAAACACAATAAAGGAATCGGGACCCTCATTTTCACCACGCAAACACATAGACCTTCCTGGCCAGTTTCTCTCTCCTCATGTTACCCACCAACAGTTAAACAGTTGAGAGCGCTTAAAAAGAGTTCTACTTTTCATGAAAACCACAGCTGAAAATGGGAACATTGTGATCTATTTCATATCCAGATCTAAAACTAGACATTCAAAGAAGGAATATATTCACCAGTACTAACACAAGGAGACTTTTGTAATCAAAGTCATGGCCTTAAATACCCATGGGTAGGTACTAAGCACAACATCTATTTCTGAAAGGCTCCAGCTTAATCCTATATACAACAGTCACTTCAGCAGGAGGAGACCAGTGAAGAAAACATAAAGAAAGGGCATAAGTCAAAAGGATAGGACAACAAAAGAAAGAAACAGAAGATACAAAAACAGGGTCAGCCAAAAAACAAGCATTCACCCTTTGCGCTGCCTCAACACGATGCTGCCTGCCAAACCCAACTCAACAGAGACATAAGATCCGTTTGCTTGCCCCGTGTTACTCAGGTCAACTCTTACAGAAGCATCATAGGAAAGACGTGAACTCACTCTTTGCCTACTCGGCAAACAGAGCCCGGAAGAGTCTGCAGGTCTGATCCCTCTTCTCTTGAATAGAAGAGTCATCAACCAAGAAGTGGCTTTTTTAGTTTTGGGGTTGGTTCTCCCCCTCTGCGCAGATTTTTTTTTTGGAAGGCAACAGTACAAAAGCATTTTTTCATTACAAGGAATTTGGGGGATGTTGTTTTATCTTTAGAAAAGGTGTAATAAAAAGGTCACCTGCAAAGGAAAAGACAACCATTCCTTTTCTCTGCCTACTGCTCTTCCTGGGACATCTGCATTTATAAGGACAGATTAGGCCCTTTTATTAACTCTTGTAAATCTGTACCCCAATGAAACAGAAACGTCTAATTTCACTGTTTCAACAGTTTCTCCAAGCAACAAGTCAGGACTGGAGACTACAGTTAGCAAACCCCAGACTTCAAGAGCACAACAGATAAGCAGTTCAGACAAGCAAGTGTTTTAAATAGAGAAAGCCTTTGTCTGAAATTTAACACCCTCTTCCCCTTCAATTAAGGCTTTGAACTGTAAATGGCTGTTGTGAAGAAGCTGTTATCATGATACACCAATAAATCTCCCTTATAAATATTGTTGTGAATTCGGTAACTCCACTGGTTTTAAGCCATTAATACTGTTGATTTGACAGTGAGACTAAGAGACTATTACATTGGTCTCTGAATTTATCTTGGAAGGATTAAAGGGTGGAAAATGCTTTTCTGCTACAGAAGTGAGATTTATGAGGAGCCCAGCCGAATTATTTCTAGAGTGTCCAATGTTAATGGAGATACTAAGACAATAGTTGCATTTAAAGAGGTATTTGGGAATTTGAACAGCTAAATACTGTTTTTCATGGACACTTTGAAAAATAATGCCTCCAGTTATGTAGTCACCTTAGACTGAGAGCTTGTTGATCATTTTTCCAGACAGATATTTACCGTTCCCTAGCACTAACCACGAACCTCAAGAGCAGCATTCTTCAATTTCTTCAATACAAATTTCTCAACATCATTCCAAAACATTGCTACACACCTCATTTCAGATCCAGCTCTACTTTCTAGGCCAGATTTCACAATGTATTTAAGACGCATCAGCCTTGTATGTTCCATGTGGCATCTCTGGCTCCAGGAAAAAACCTTCCTTCGGGACCGTCCTTACAAAGCTATCAGTGTGCTGCAATTGTTAAAAGATCCTTGTTTCCAGGGAACTGTAGCTGTGCTTCCACACACGTGAATTAGAAGACGCAGAAGTCACCAGGGCCATTTACAAGGAAAGCAATAGCTGCAGCCTGACTTCTCAAGGAATATATTAAACTCTTTCAGTTAAAGGAAATAAATCTTACTCTCAGCACTGTTTCTCTAGTACTTTTCTGTTTCATGATTTACCCACTTGCATATTTTCTTCCCTACTCAGTCATCATTTTGGCTAGATTTAAAGCACATTGCTCAACTCATGTAGAAACAACTTTTGATAAAAACTTCTTGTAGCTTAATTCCTTCTGGAAGCAAACCAATATGACTGAATCTTAGTTGAATCATACTCGTGATAAGAGAGTTCTGTGATGCTCACAAGTTACTTTATAATGGCCTCCCCAAGCTATTAGATGCAGTTTCCAGAGCTTGCATCTCTCCTCCCCAATGAATACTCAAGTATTCTCTAAGCCAATGCAACACTGAAGTGATATGTATCAAGTAAGGTAATGTTTATTTGTCAGCACAACATAAGCAATGAAATACTTTCCTAAGTCATACATACAAACGTAGAATCCAATGAAAGCATTTAAGAAGTGTTTTACTTGGGCATTGCTCTCTTGACCCGAATGCTAGATCTAGTTTATAACTTTCCATAATTACAGAGTTTGCATAGAAGCATGAACTAGGTTAATCATGTATGGCTTAACTTTAGAATCAGATACTCAAAACAGAAACAGAAGGTTGTTAAAACATTACTAAAACTAGCTTTAATCAGGTGCAGACACTGAAAGCA